CGGGCGGGCGCCCAAAACCAAAGTCGTTTAGAACGCCCCAAAACACCCAGAACCCCCCATTGCCCGAAGGGCGCCCGGGGGTCCGGTCGGTGGGCGGGCGGGCGGGCGCCCAAGATCAAAGTCGTGCGGAATGCCTCGAAACGTCGAGAATTGGACCTTTGCACCAGGCGCCTCGGACCAAAGCGGTCGGTGCGGAGGTCCAGTTCCCCCCCCCCTCGAAGCCCCTTCTGTTCGGGCGCCCCCCTCGTGGCACTTCGCCGGGGACGGACGCCGGGCGGGCGGGCGCCCAAAACCAAAGTTGCTCAGAACGGCCCAGAACGTCGAGAAAGGGACGGTGCCGAAGGGGCGCCCCGGGCGCCCGCCCGCCAGGGCGCCCGAAACCAGAGTGGTGTGGAATGGCGCAGAACGTCGAGAAACCCCATCTCCCCGGGGTGCCGGCCCCGAGGCCGAAATACCAAAGTCGTCCCGAACGCTCCTCCACGCCCGGATCCGGGGGCCGCCGGCGACGACGAGTATGACTATAAGTCTATGTAGTGTAACCTACTGAATACTATCATTCCCCGGCGAACTCACATTGGAAGTCAAGTGAGCTGTCGGCTTTACCTTCGAGGTGTTAAGGCAGACATTGATCGTGTTGATTCTGTTTTGGGGGTTCTAGCAGCTTGTGCTTTGAGTGCTGACTGTTACCGATGGAAGTTCTAAGCATTCCGGATCAACTCGGCCGTCGGATCGCGCCCAACACGACCGTCTCTGGTACCCGTTAGACGACGACGACAACATACTTGCTTGTGAACTGCTCGTAAGACATTTCACCATTCTATCCACGCGCCCTAGGTTGCAATGAACAACTCCACTTCAGAAGATCGCGTCGGATTTGACTCTGACATCGGCATTCGGCTTCCGGCCACATCTGCACGCCATTACTATGCCATTACTCACAGACGAGGAGGAAGTCGAGCGTGCAGAAGCCTCGCAATGTTGCGTTAGTGGGGAGCACCATGTGTCGATATTGACAGACGACATGCTCCTCTCTTCGAGCTCGACGATCGCCCGTTCGCATCCAGACGCAACAGCCTCCCACGGCACGGGCGATGGAGCAGACGGTGGGAGCCATGTCGCGTCGTCGACTCATCGCTGCATCCCGCTGGTCTCTTCGTGGTTTCTCGTCGTTCCTCCATTCATTGTGTCGCCCCGCGATGCCTTCTCTGTCCGGTGAATGAAGAAGATGAACGAACGGTAATGGCGAAGCCTTGGAATTGTTTCTATGTACGTGGTCATCGAGATGCACCAGCGCCGTGCTGCGATACGTGAGCCGTTCACAGCCGTAACTCATATCCGCCAGTAACCTGCGCCAGGAATTTCCATGCCCTCGTATCGATGAACTTCCCACCCGATCATTGATCCAGGAACTCCCATACAGCCAAGCCCTTCCCACCCAACCCATTTCCAGCGCCGTGGATACGAACGCTTCATGTTCTTTTGACAGACGTTTGCCTCATTCCATGGTCATCCCGCGTCGCGCATGTCGTCTCACATACTATATATCGCCAGGGTATCTTCCTCCCGGCGTGAAGCCCGTTCCCATGTTGCTTGCGGCCGTGGCGGCACGGCTGCCCGCCCTCTGTCTTCCCACGCCTACGCCTGGAATGCTGAAGTCGGGATTTGCGCCGAGGATCACGTCCTGCTGTCTTCGTTGTGGGGGGCCAGCAGGTTCCATCTGTCCAGAGCTGGGACGCCAATTGGGGTTGACCGGCCGCTCGGAGATGGAGGTGAAGTGGGACGTTTCGGATGCGCGCTCACTGCCCGCTTGGCCATCTTCCTGGTCCAGGTCGCCGGCGCTGCCAGCATCGTTGGGGCCGATGCCACCACCGCTCAGGTACTTGGGATGCAGATAGCCGGTGTCGTGCTGCGGATGTTGTGCCTGCATACGACTTGTGCCGGAGGTGGGGAAGCCATAGCCGCCAGGCGTTTGCATGCCGCCGGTCGCGGGGGTCATGGGGAAGCCGCCCGGGACGTTCTGATTGACGAACGCACCTGGTGTAGTCGCTGCATTGACACGCCCACCAGGAGTCAGCGCGGAAGGCAGTGCAGAGTCGCGAGCGAAACCGTCATCCGAAGGCTCTTCGACGGCAAAGCGAGGGTCAACGTCTTCGTAATAGGGTTCAGAGCCACTTCGTGCGTGCCTGGGCGAGCTTCGTCCCACGGCGGGCGAGCCTTGAATGGGCGCAAGCGGCATCGTGCGGGAAGGCGATCCAGCCCGTGGAACTTCGGATGCAGCGCCCCACTGCTGTCGGGGAGGTACGTAGGAGCTAGCAAAAATCGTCAGCCATTGATCGGTTCGGCCCTCACTCTGTGTGCACACTTACTGCTCGGAGTACTCGCTCGTCGGGCTGCGCGCATCAAGCTGTCGGCTCTGGTCCAGGTCTTGCCCCTGCTGCAAACTGACCATGCCAGTGACATCCGCATCGTTCTCCCGCAGTCCGTATGGCTGCTGCATATTGCCTTCCGCAGCCCCATTGACCGGCATGCTGCCCGTACGCTCATCCATTTCAATGGCCTGGCCAATCGGTAGGTCTGGTCCCGCCACATACGGGTCGTACGGTGGCTGCTGTCCGTCTTGGGAATGTGATCGCATCGCCATTGCACCCGCGCCCATTGCAGTAGCCGCGGCTGCTCCACCGGCGACTGCGTAGTAAGGGTGATCGCCGGTGCTGTAGTTGGGGGGCGGTGGCCCTCGTGGCGGGCCTCGCATTCCTGGACCACCCCTTCCTCTCCAGCCGGGCGGCGGTGGCCCGCCTCGGAAGCCGCCACGAGGCCCGTAGCCTCGGGGTGGGGGTCCGTATCCTCCTCTGCCAGGCGGTGGGCCACCATAGTAGCCCCGAGGTGGGCCTCGCCCTCTCCCTCGGGAGCCATACGACGCATTCGATCCCATAGACTCTTGAGATCCTCGTCGTCTCATTCCCGGAGGCGGCAACGCGCCAGGCGGAAGCGGATTGCCGTATTGATCTCTGGTTGGTCGCCGCGGCCGGCCCTGGCTGTCCATGCTAGGCCGCGGCATAGGCGGCGCTTGTCCGGGACCGTATGGGGTGCGCCTTCCAGATATCCCCGATCTGATGCTCGGGTCTCCGTTTGGGTTGAGTGGCGTCCGATCATCTCCGTTCTCGCCTTCCCTTGACGAAGTCTGCGTCATCTCGTATGCCGCGAAGTGGGAACTGTCCTTGTCGAAAGCACCGTTCGCCCCCGCGAGCATTGGAGGCGGGCTGTCGGCTCTGGGGAGCTGCGAGGCCTGGCGTTGCTCCAGCATGGCCGCGTCGGCCATCATGCGGGTCTGCGCCAAGTTGTTGTAGTAATTCTCCCCGCTCATTTCCGCATTTTCCTCGATCCTCTTCTGCCTGGCTTTCCGGGAGACGAGGGTGCGGCGCATGGCGCACGTGAGGACGCTGCTGGCAACGATGAGGATGACAGCGGCGAGCACGATCCAGCCGCCCCACTGCATGTGCGGGACGAAGAGCAGGATGTCGACGAGGAAGGCGAGCAGGGTGACGATCATGGTGGGGATGGTGAGGATCAGCAGGCCGAGCAAGAAGCGCGGGGAGCTGGAGGGAGAGTGGAAGTGCGCGGCGATGGACAATCCGAAGCAGATGAGGATGAGAAAGGCGGCGACGGGGTGCACGACGAGGATGCCGGAGAGGGGATGGCGGATGTCGGGGGAGAGGGAGAAGTTGCTGGCATCGTCGAGGACGGGAACTACGGCGGGTGCGAGGTCAGTACGCATGGTCGCGGCAAGGGGGAGGGCGCGGGGCGAGGCATGTACGCGATCCATATCCTATGGAGATCTTGGAACACACGTTGGTCTTGGTGTCGCACAGGCCGAACACCCCAAAATTGTAGCCATCGAAGCTGGCGAGTGGAATGGCATGGATGATGGGCGTCGACAGGGTGCTCAGCAAGAGGATGACGAAGGCGACGAAGAAGACGACGGCCAGCGGGGTCGCCGGACGGAGCATCGTGTGGATGGAGGCGTGGTGACGCCGGGCTCAAACGAGGGAATGGAGTGGGTGGTGGGCGGCGGCGTGCCGAGGGCGCGGTGCCGTGGGGTGAGAGACGGAGGGCGAGGAGGGGAAAGCGCGGAGGCGTGCGCAACGCATCAAAGATCTGTCCGCGGCGGCGGTGTGTGAGGGAGGATTGGAGATCGCAGAAGAATGGCCGGCCAAGAGTTTCTGGGCCGCGGTGATGGTGCAGGAGTGGTGCGCAAGAAAAAGGCCGGTCCCAGCCTCTCCTGTGCGGCGGGCGGAAGCGCGGCGCGGGCGATGGGTGGGAAGAATGGAGGGCGCGGGCGTGACAGATGTCGAGCCCCAAACGAGCCGGGCGGTGGGAGGAGGAACGATGGACGACGGCGGGAGGAGGAGGGCGAAGGATGTGCGTGCGTCGGTCGTGGGGGCCCGGCAGGGGAAGGCGCGCAGCATGGAGGGAGAGGGGGAAGCGGCGCAGAAAGTTCGATGGGCAGGCGCGACCCCCGTTCCGGGCTAGGCGTGTGGCTGGACGCTGTGGCGTCGCCCTGTTCCACGCGGCAACGGCCAACGGCGTGGGCCTCTGACTTTGCGCTATGCCAGCAATTGCTCCGCCCCAATTTCCCACTCTTCTTCCCCTGCTCATCCATCTCCTTCTTGGACTGGTGACGCCCGTGTGCAGGTGCCCGGGGTTTGAGGCACTCGTACGGTCCCCTCACGACGCCCTCCAACAACGCCAGGGAGAAGATGGAATCCACGAGCAGGCGTCAAGTCTTTCAAGCCTGCACCTTTCACAGCGTTGCCATCGTGAATATCCACATCCCACACAATGATCGAGTCGAAGGAGCGTGCAATGACTCGCAACTCAGCCCGGTTCCCTTTTCTGCTCACGGCAACGATGTCGGATGGCTCTAATCTGGAGCGTTTCTAGAGCCTGGACCTGGACCTGTGGTGGCTGCTCGACCTTCTCTTTGCAGAATTGCTTGTAGCATTTGTAGTTGGGCATTGATCGTAATACGGATCCATCTACTTCGGGCGCCTCGCCGGATTGATGGAAAAACCGGAGCCATGGTGCTTCCGTGGTCCATTCGCATTCAGGAAGGGCGGCGAGGCGTGTCTCGACACATGGAACGGTCGTGGTCAACCATTGTGCAGACGTGGATGAGGAATGGCGGCAAGGCTGAGCGTGGGCGCGTGCGCGGCTTGCACGTGCTTGCGAGACCTGCCGGATTTAGTCGTGGTCTTGCCGGACTGCACCTGCCGCTTGGCAGGGCTCGGCTGATCTCCATCTTATCGATCAATCGCTTCACCGCATCCCCCTCCCCGGAGCAGCACGCGGGCGCGACACACCCCAGAGTATCTCGCGCCATTCTGTTGCCGACTGCATCTGGAATCTCCACTCCAACATCGCCGGCCTCTGGTGTCCCCACGCTCGAAGCAATGACGTGCTCGAGCTCGCATCAAGCTTGTTAGCGAGGCCCGCGGCCAGACCTGCATGGCAGATAGCCACGCGGATATCAGTCCTCCCCTCCCATCGAGCCAGGCCGGGGAAGCGGTGAGTCCGCTGCTGGAGACGCAGGGCATCTTCCTGCCCGAGTATCCATCACACCTGCGCCCTCCAGCAATGCCCGCCTCGTCATCCGCGGGGAGCGAGAGTGGCAATGGCAAAGGAACGGGCGAGATCAATCGACGCGATGGCTACCACTACCAGCCAGTCAACCAGCATGCCGTGCCTGTGCCGCCGCCATCGCAGACGCCCCAGCCCCGGCAGACCGACCTCGCAGAGACGACGTCGTTAATCTTGCCGTCCACCCTGCCCTCGTCGACATTGGATGTTGAGTTCGGTGCCGGCAGTTCGAGTAAGCGCCCCATGGAGGATTTCCGATACGGCAGCTTCTCCAGTCAGGTGTCGGCCTTCTCCAAACCCGATCGCGCAAAGCGGCCCCAGTGGATGCCGGACATCACCCTCAGCAGTCGCGATCGTTTCCGGTACTGGGCGTATTACATTCCCTTCCTCACATGGTTTCCCCAATATCAACTGAGTTGGTTCCGCGGGGACGCCCTGGCCGCCATCACCGTCGCCTCTCTCTACATCCCCATGTGCTTCTCCTTTGCCATCCTGGGCAAGGTGGAGCCTGTCAACGGCCTCTACGCGTTCATCGTCCACCCGTTCATCTACTCGCTCCTAGGCTCCAGCCCGCAGATGATCGTCGGTCCCGAGGCCACGGGTAGTCTCATGGTCGGCGCCATCATTCATCAGGTGCAGACCACCGCCTCGGGAGATCAGCCTGGCTTCGTCGGGGAGAATGCGCACATTTCCGGCGTGGCCACGGCGATCGCCGGCGCCATGCTCCTCAGCGCCGGGCTGGCGAGAATTGGCTTCGTCGACAGCGTGCTCAATCGCCCTTTCATGCAAGGGTTCATCGCGGGCGTCGGCTTCGTGCTGGTCGTCGAACAAGCCATTCCCGAGCTGGCACTGTCGCAGTTGGTGGAGGAGGCTGGCATCGCCCACTCCAGTTCCATCGTCAAACTGTGGTTTCTGTTGACTCATCTCAACAAAGCCCATTTCCTGACCGCATTGATCTCAATTTGCAGTCTAGGCTTCATCTTAGCCACCCGGTGAGTTCGTTGTTCCCTCTGCGTACGCACACCACTCGCTCATTCTATCAGCTTTGTGCAAAAATCGCTCCGAGCAGAATATCCGTCCGTGTCTCTCTTCCCCGATCGCCTTCTCGTCATCATTGTCACTACCACTCTCACCGCCAAACTGGCCCTGCAGGATCGTGGCTTGGACATACTCGGGTCGCTTGGATCCTCGACATCATCCATCCCGACCTTACGATGGCCACTGCAAAGTATGGATGAAATCGAAATGGTGTTTAGCACGTCATTTCTCATCGCTCTCCTGGGATTCTTCGAGTCGTCCGTGACCGCGAAAAGCTTGCGTCCGCCGAAAGATGCTCTCCAGGCCACGTCCCTCAGCGCCAATCGCGAGCTCATCGCCCTCGGCGCCGCGAACATGGTCGGCGGCGGCTTCTGCACTTTGCCGGCCTTTGGTGGCTTCGGGAGGAGCAAGCTCAACGCCCAGACGGGCGGCACGACGCCGATGAGCAGCATGCTGCTCAGTCTGATCAGCCTGTTGTGCGTCTTCTTCGTATTACCCTACCTCTACTACGTTCCCAGGGCGGTTCTGTCAGCCATGGCATCGGCGGTCGGCATTTCCATGATGGAAGAGTGCCCGCACGAGATTCGCTTCTTCCTCAAAGTTCGAGGCTGGGGCGAGCTCTTCCTGATGGCCGCAGTCTTCCTCGCCACGGCCCTCTACTCCATGTCTCTCGGCATCACAGTGGGCATCCTCATCACCCTGTACAACCTCGTCAAGCACTCCACGCGCTCTCGGATTCGCGTCTTAGGGCGAGTCCCCGGCACGAAACACGCATTCGAAGACGCGGATCTCGCCCCCGACGGAGATCGATTCGACCACACCTTGATCGTGCGGATCCCAGAGCCGTTGACTTTCGCCAACGTCGGCGACCTGCGAACGCGCTTGGGACGTTTCGGCCGCTACGGCACGCACGCTGTGCATCCATCCTTGCCGCGGATCCGCATTGAAGATCGGTGCTTGATTTTCGACGTCCAAGGCTTGACGGAGATTGACGCGTGCGGCATTCAGATCATGACGGAGATTGTGCAGGAGCACACGGCGAATGGAACGCAGGTGATGTTTTGCCGGCTGCGGCCCGGCGATGTCATGGAGAACTTTAGAATCAGCGGCATCATCGACATCTGCGGCGGACCAAAGTACTTCGTCGATAGCGTGGACGATGCGCTGAGGATCGCTGGGATGGAGAAATGATCACGTGTTGGAGTGCAACCCGGCGTCATCGGAATTACGATAGTGAAACGTATGAACGGCGCAAGAGCGAGCCGCCGCGCATCGATGTATGAGACCTGTCTGCAGCATCTGCTCCTCTATCAGGGCCGTCGGCGATTAGAATCGCCGCTTCTGCGACCAGGTCAGAGGAAGGAAAGGTCCCAGGCCGAGGTGGAACGGAATCAGACACGGCGACATGTTGTTGCCTCGGCGCAGACACGTGGATTGCGTTGTTAATACTCGTTGCTGGTGCTGTGAAGAAGCGGCAGTCGGCGATTCGTCGCCCGCCTCCTGCTCGAAGCTATGCCTTCCGTCGTATTCGTGGGATTCGAGGCGGGCCTTGCAATAACATGATTGGCCGTAGAACGTGCGCAACGTTACCTCCATCTGCCGTCTCCGCTTAACTCCGAGCGTATACGAGCGCGGGTGTCAGGCGTCATAACGGCTTCATGATATAAAGAAGGCGCCTCACCAGAATGACAGAATCTCAATCACACTCCAGTTCCCTCTTCAGACTTCACGCTTTCCACTCAAAATGGCTGTTAAATATATCGAAAAGGTTACGATCGTTGGGGTGAGTCTACCCACGCATCACCCGCCTTCACTGCTGATAACATCATCCGCCAGGCTGGAGGACGAATCGGCAGGGCGTTCGCGGAGAACCTTGTCAAAACCGGGCGACACACGGTGACGGCGCTGAGCCGCAAAGGCAGCAACAGCACGCCGATTGACGGCGTCAAGGTCGTGCCCGTCGACTACGATGACGAGGAGTCTCTGATCTCCGCCCTGCGCGGCCAACAATTCCTCATCATCACGCTGTCGGTGCGGGCGAAGAAGGAAGTGCATACCCAAATTGTCACGGCCGCGAGTAAAGCCGGCGTGCCGTACATCATGCCCAACATTTTCGGAGGCGACGCTGCCAACGCCAACGTCCTCAATGACCCCGTCATCGGCACCTTGTACCAGGAGCGCATCGGCGAGGTCGAGAAATCCGGCAGCGCGTATGTCGTGCTGGTCTGCGGGCAGTGGTACGAGTGGTCTCTCGCGCTGCCGAAGCCGTGGTTTGGATTCGACATCCGTCAGCGGGAGGTCACATTCTACGACGACGGCAAGACGCGGGTGAACGTCAGCACGTGGGATCAGTGCGGCCGCGCAGTCGCTGCGCTGCTGAGCCTGCCGGAGAATGGGGCATCTCCTTGCGTGGCGGATTGGAAGAATCGGCAGCTCTACGTCTCCAGCTTCAAGGTCAGCCAGCGGGATATGCTCGACAGCCTGAATCGCGTGCTGGGGACGACGGATGGGGATTGGAAGATCGACTACGAAGCGACGGACAAGCGGTATCAGCGCGGTCTCGCGGCGATGAAGGCAGGGGATCGGTCTGGCTTTGCGACGGCATTGTACGCCAAAGCTTTCTTCCCCAACGGAGATGGGGATCTCGAGGGAAAGGGAGTGCTGGACAACAAGACCCTCGGTTTGCCGCAGGAGGATCTGGATGAGATCACAAGGAGGACGGTGCAGATGGTGAAAGAGGGGTTCGTGGAGAAGACGTTTGCCGAGCTTTCGGGATGAGGCTCGAAGAGAGGATGCCGTGTTTGGTGCATATAACGTAGAAGCATGGGTTCTATGTGATTGATATACATCTTACTAGGCCGCAGGCGGCGGCATCACTTGCTGCTCGCACCGTCCGAACTAGACTTGCTTTCCATTCCATCCGGACGAAACTTGCTTTTCACACCGTCCGAACTAGACTTGCTTTTCACACCCTCCGGACGAGACTTGCTGCTCGCACCGTCCGAACTAGACTTGCTTTCCATTCCATCCGGACGAAACTTGCTTTTCACACCGTCCGAACTAGACTTGCTTTTCACACCCTCCGGACGAGACTTGCTGCTCGCACCGTCCGAACTAGACTTGCTTTTCACACCGTCCGAACTAGACTTGCTTTTCACACCGTCCGGGCGAGGCTTGCTTTTCGAGCCTCGCGAACGAGACTTGCCTTTCGCACTGAATGCATGAGACACCTTGCGAGTCTTAAGTGGCCGAGCCCTTGTTCCCTTGAGTGTAAGAATGCGCAATGGTTCCGGCTCTGGCCCATGGTACCCCAGCTCAACCTCACCCAATGTGTCGACCACTCTCCGTCTCCCGTCGTTTGAGTAGTCTACCTTGAGCTGGTCAGGGGGCTGCCAACCTTGCTGTATGGCCTTGAAATACGCCGAGGAGACGTTGTATTCGTCCAGGGAAGGCTTCCGTTGCGATTCGGACCAGTCGGCGATGACGTCGTGGAACCCATCCAGGCACATCACAGACATACGCATCTCTACCTTGGCTCCATCCGTGCGCCGGACATGGAACATAAGGTCTAGAGGATTTCGAGAGGAGATGTCAAAGTCTTCAATCTGCTGCGGAACAGGCAGGAGTCGACGCTGCGGCGGTGGCGGTCCCTGCGCACGTGCAGCCCGGATAAGATCCCAGTGCTTTTTGCGAGCGCGGCGATGTGCCCGCGGCGACTTGGTGGGCGACTCGATGGGGGAACCGTCTGGGATCTCGACGTCAGCTTCCGCAGAATCATTCGGTTCTTGCGCGGGTGTTGACGGCCGGTGGGGAGACGGCAGCAGATGGTCTCCGATTTTCGAGAGATCCTTCGATTTCTTCGACTTCTTCGACTTCTTCGACTTCTTCGAGCTTTTCGTTATCCGATGCGATGGTGGTGACACGTGGGCAGATGGCGGCGAATCGTGCTCGGTTCTTGCGGGCTTCAATCTCCGATGAGGAGGTGTTGGCACTTGGGTAAAAGGTGGCGAACTGCCCTCCAGTCCCGCGGAAGCGTTCGACGTTGGCTGGCGCGGTGTTGACGGGTGAGGAACCGGGGGCGAACTGTCCTCGGGTCTCACGGGTGCCTTTGATTTTCGATGGCATGTCGAGAAGAGGGACAGGTGAGGAACCGACGGCGAATTGTTCTCGATTCTCGCGGGTTCTTGAGAAGGTCGATGGGCCGGCGGTGACACGTGAGAAAACGGGGGCGAACTGCCCTCGAGTCTCACG